GGAATGTAAGAGCCATATAGATAGTATAGGTTTGTTGTTTGTTAATTTATGTTATTCCTTAGAATATTAGAAATCTTATTGTTCAGTTCATTGTTGTCAAGTACATTGGTTAATCTAACCACTAGGTGGAAAACACTCACGTAAAGGCACGTAATATGTCACGTGATACAGTATATGTATATGTGTTTTTTCTCTTGTGAGACGGTCGGGTGTGCACGTAACACAGTTTTCTGACCGACTGCGATTAAAGCTTAATAGATTAGTGGAAGTATGTTGTATTTGTAAATGTTTTCCTTTGCTATATTTATTAGTAAAAGTTTTTTTTTAAAGAAGATTTTGAGTTGGAGAATTTTTCGTCGCGTCAGACTAGTTGCCAAACACCTGCTCCGTTAGTGGCATAAAGAAAAAGGAGGAGTGCCACTTACAATTTGCATTTGCATTTGTATTTGTGTCGGAGAGAAGCACGCGATAGTGTTAACGAGAAACGCTACTTGCACGCAAAACAGCCATCCAAGTGAACGACAGTGATGTCTGGTTTGTGAACACCTTGTTCCTTTGAACCGATTCTTTTTAGTGAATCAGTCAAACCGGTTTTCAAATCTAAAAGAATCAAACTTTTTGTACTTCCATGCATTGCATGGGTCAAAGTCTCACATTGAAAAATGTACAAATATCTGGCAAATTATCAATAGTAAACTAGCTGTCTTTTTATATATTATTATAACATTATTGTTCACTCATTGCTGTTTTAATTTTAATTTCATTGTTGCTGTGCATGCCTTACAAAGTTTGGGAGTTGCATTCCCAAACTCTATTTTTCCTCATGGGATACGCAATTTTAATTTTTTTTATATAACTTATTTTCATTTTCATTAAACAAACATCAAAAGCATTATACAACAAAAACAAGGCCTACAGTTAAAAAAGACAAAAAAACAAAACGGTAATCTTTCCAAAACCAATCAATCATTCATCCCTCTCTTCACCCACTTGTCCCAGTCAGCCTCAAAGTTTTCTTCCTTCATCCTGGGATACGTGTATCTTAATATGCAATTTTAGTGAGCGCGATGTTTTTCAGCAACGCATTAGTCGTAGTAAATGTAGAAAGATTGGCCTTGCAGCGGCAGTGCCACAACAGCACCGTGGGCGGAATGGCGCGCTGGTCCACGACAGACCACCACGCAGCCAGTCTGTCCCGGGCATTAGACTTCAGCTGGCGGTGCACCGCGTCACACCTCAGTGCAGGCCGCTGTTCACATTTCCGTGCAGCTTGCTCACAGACACAGCCGTGGCCTGCTTTCAGATAATCTGTGGCGTCAGCTGTATTGGTACCTTTTGTGCCCACGCTAGTCTGTTACCCAGATCTTGCTGCAGAAATGTGAACTGCATAACATGATCAGATGATTGATAAGGTTGATATTTGAGAGCAAGAGTTTACGACTGATTCAAACTGTTGCCACTCATTTATAAACTTAAAATAAGTATTACTTTAACTGATGGTTATGAAACTTGGGGGTTAGATAGAGGCAGGTGTAGGGCTCCCAGGCTAGTGTGACCAATGGGGACGCATGGCTTAAGCGGCATTTTGGCCCGTCTGTCAGCTGGAGGAGATGAGACACTCCCACAAACTGGAGGTGGCGAACGTCAGGCTGGAGTGTGTGCGGGCCAGGGGTGAGCTGGAGGCGGAGAGAGATGCCCTGCAAAGCAAGGTGGAAGGTAACAGCACGTATGGTCCCCTGACCCATTTACGTTCTAGACTGCAACATCAAAGCCGTACGTGAGCATCTAATTCATTTGTGCTCCCGTTGATGTATTTTTACATCGTTTTTATCCTTTCAATATTAATGTGACTTTTCTATAGGACAGTGTTTCCCAACCCAGTCCTCGGGGACCTACAGATGGTCCATGTTTTTGCTCCCTCCCAGCTTCCTGCCAGACAGTCCACATTACCGGGAGCTGGGAGGGAGCAAAAACATGGACTGTTTGTGCATCCCCAAGGACTGGGTTAGGAAACACTGCTCTAGGAGCTTTAAGAAATGTTTCATTCTTTGTGTATGATCTCCCAGTTCCACTCCATCTTCATTTGCTTGCCCCCTGATTTCCCAGGACTGCAGTCTGACATGGATGACCTAAAGGTGGCTCTGGAGCGGAATAAGGAGCACCTGGCGGAGAAGGAGAGAGAGATGATCCGTAAGGTTCAGGCAGCGCGAGAGCAGGAGCTCCACAAAATGGCAGCGGTCCAGGAGGAGAAGTGAGGATCGCTTGTCTCCTTTGGCTTCTGGCAAAGCTGAAGTTGGCAGATTTTTTAATTTTTCTTTTTTGATGAGCTCAGGCCGTCATTGTTTTGTGGTTTGTGTGTGTGTGTGTGTTCCTTAGGTTGGAGCTGGAGAATCGCGTGACGGATCTGGAGCAGCAGAGGACGCTGCAGGAGGCCGCGGAGATTTCCCAGAAGGAGCAGTGTGAGGAACGGTTCCGGGCCGCCCAGTTGGGCGAGGAAACGGCTCGCAAGGAGGCATCGTCCCTGAAGTATGAAGGCCTGCCGTCTGCAACCAGTCCGAGTTTTTGTGACTGCAGTCATTGGGCACCCATGTGACACGAGTCCTCCTCCTCCTCCTCAGGATCAGGATACAGCAGCAGGCGCGTCAGCTGGAGGAGCTGGAGAAGGAGAAAACAGAGAATGGAGACCTCCGAAAGGTGGGGGACAGTGGCCGATTCATGGATCGGACACTGACACGCACACATGCGAGTGGTGTATAGTGTAGGAATCAAAAGAGGCTTTGAGAGTTGTTGTGGTCGGGATTGGCATGTGCTGCCAGTCCAGTTTCTCACTTCATATTTCCCTGTGTTTAACCAGAGAGCACCAGCAGAGCTCGCTCATGTTTGCAAAGCTCATGTCACACACAGGATGTAGTTCAGACATTGTGCATAAACTCGTGTCTCTCTTCTACCAGCCCTTTGTTTAAATCTGTTCTTGTGGGCAGCGGTGAATTCGCTGTGTCTGGTGGTTTTTAGTGGATCTCCCCTGCCTCCCTCCCCGTCTCACCAGCAAAACCAAGAACTGACGGTACAGCTGAGTTCTCTGTCTCATTCGGAGAGCGAGCTGCTGGATGCCAACCGGAGGCTGCGGGAGGCGCTGGAGAGGCTGCGGGAGGATCAGCGCAGCGCCCGCTGCCAGGCCGAAAGGGCCCAGTTGGAGGCAGAGAGGTATGTGGCGTGATGCACCACGTTTTTAGCGTGGCACACGTGATGGGGGGGGGGGGGGCGGTTAAGCGGTTCCACACATTTTCAAACCAAACAGTTGCTGCGCCTTAATCACAGTGGATGGGTATTATTGAGGCGCTGGTGCAGTAGCACAGGAAGTTGTGCAAGACTGAAAAGTCTGCAGCCCCACCTCTCTGCAGCTTCCTGGTGGCAAACGAAAGTTTGTTTATTTACTTTTAAAGCTGCAGCCTTCTTATACTAATGCGCAAATACAAGCATCTCTCAAACCGCAGTACTTAGGAGAGAGTAACGTTTGATATCCCAGTTCCTTAGATCTTCCAGTCCCCAGTTTGGCGGCGTCCACATGCCTTGACCTGTATCCCCACCCCCCCCCCCACAGGGTGCTGGAGGAGCGACGGGTGGAGTGGCTGCAGGAGAAGCACCAACTGCAGGAGCGTGAAGCCCAACTAGAAACGAAGGGCAGTCAGGCTCGGGAGAAGCTGCAGAGAGCAGCACTGGCCCAGAAGAAGGTACCAACTCCGAAGCTCCGAACTGGGCTGCTAATCTGGATCTTTCTCTGTGTCACCACTAGGGGAGCCCTAGTTATTATGCCTGTACTGTGTTAGATTGCCCCTGTGACATATCCACCCCACTCTTGCTACTGCTGCCACTAATTTAAGCATATGAAATCTGTCACCTCAAGCTGTTTGGCACCAAGCTCATTTCCTTAACCACGCCTCTGCGTCCTGCTTGCGCTGTGATCGACTTTACTGTGACCCCGGATGCCTCAGGATGTCTCACTGCAGCACGTGCCTGTTTGGTCTGTTTCAGAGGAAGACCATGAGCGAGCTCAAGGAGAAGAAGCTTCAGGACAAGATTCAGTTGCTGGAGGCCAGGATAGAGCAGATGGAGATCGAGAAAAGCACAGAGAATAAGTAATGACCTTCAAGGGCATGTTAGACATGCAGCTGAATATTTCCGTTTTCTGGGATTTCCAGTGAGCAAGTCTCGTTTCCTCTCTGCTGTTAGGATTTCCTCCCGCATGTTGAGTACTGACCTCCCCATCTCTGTGTCCCTCACCCCCCAAAGAAAGGTGTTTTCTGAGGAGCAGCTTCAGCTCCAGCGCCGCCTGAAGGAGCTGCATAGGAGGCACGGCGAGTTTCGCCGCTTGCTCCTGGGAACGCAGTCGGCCCCCGGCCCCCCAGTGAGTCTGCCCCACTCCGGCCTGCCCTGGGTGGAAGTTTCTAGTTTGATGTAGAATAGGGCTAAGCGATTTGTCGATTTCGAATTAGCAAATCGCAAATGCTGCGATTTAGGACATGCATTATACAGCACTGCTGACCCAGGGCTTAAAACTGTCGTCAAAATACTTTTACAAATTCGTGCCGTGCTCCTCGCGTGCCAGTCACGCTCACCAATCAGAAATGGCCCAAAACGACCGTGTGCGGATATGCCCACAAAGAGCAAACTGTGAACCCACAGAAAACATCACATTCGCAACATTGCTTCTGCTGCTGAGCTATAGGTGAATTACCTATGAATTTCCCGGTCAGAGATTTAGAGAAAGCTCGTATACGAAGTAGCAGTGTTGGTATCTTTCAGTATCTATGGCTTAGCAGAATTGTTTTATCATCACTCTATGCAAGTCACAGCTTTTAAAATAATTCTTCTATGTTTGTTCTTTGCGTAATATCTGTCAGAAAATATTTTCCCCAAGTCGTTCAGCCCTTAATGTTGAAAGCGCCCCCCACCCCCTTCCAGGATGAACAGCACCAGAGGCAACTGTCATCACTACGTCGGCGCCTCGAGGAACTGGAGACTATGCAGCAGCAGCAGCTAGAGGATCTGGGCGGCCCGCTGTAGCGTAACGGGGAGCGGGAGAGGAGGGACGCCCCGCCGGCATCATGGACTCGCTCCCCGGACTCTGGCGTTAGCTGCTGCTGGAGCACTTCCTAAAACAAAACTGTCAGACGGCCTTTCAACATCCCCCTGTGGATGTGGGTTTTCTGATGTCGGTGCACTGGTGTGAGGGACATGCTCAACACTGCAGGGCTGTGACGTGAAAAAGGGACACATTTGCAGCAATTACCTGACTTTAATTTATGCCCTGTTTTCTTTTGGTACTTTACATGCAGGCATTAAATTGTGCTGAATTTTTACCAGGGATTGTCTGTCTTAATTGCTTCAGACTGCGTCTAAACGCTGTGCCCTGTCATTCTGTGCAGCATGTCTATCTGTGTAAGATATAATGTTTTTGCAAATGAGGAAAACCAAAATAAACAACACGGTAAATGTAGAGACATTAGAATAAGCTACATATGTTGTACAGACTCTCGCCCGAAAAGAGGAACAGATACTAGCCGGTTCCTTTCCATGTGACGTGCTGGTGGGGATGGGTAACTTCAGAGGAATCCAAAATGCCCGGGCTTTTCCACCAACGAATCTGAACTTGGCAATACACAAATTTATGCAAATATTTAATACAGACTGCTATCAGTGGGACAAGGGTCGTGTGATTCGGGGGGAACAGCAGGTCATGTGTTTAGTGCTCTGGTCTGCGTGTGGTTGGACACACATCTTGCCGAGTCGGGTAGCTGAGTCTCTGCTTCATGCTGGGTGGGAGACAGCTCTCGCTGTGCCAGGGTGACAGCGACCTGCGAGGGCACGAGGCACCACCACCAAGCTGCTTTTCTTGGCTTGTCACAAAACACAGCTAATGGTGACCCGTTAGTGCATGTGTCCGCTGTTCATGGTGTCTTCGTGCTCTGAATGGAAGTGGCCCTGGCGGTCGTGAGCCACAAGCTGCCGGCCCGGCCGCTGGCGAGCCTCTCACTCCCAGGATAAGTTCCTCATGTTTTCAAACTGGTTCCTGACTTCTTCTAGCTGCACCAGTAGGCCACTGGGGGTATTGTTCTGCTCCAGATAGTCCTGGATCTGTGGGTCAGGGAAAGATGGGGGGGAGTGAATGAGATGATTTAGCGCAACTGCTACTGGAGTTCAGGTGGGGGATGTGTCACGTGGAAAACTAAGCATGTGACTAGCTTCTGCTTTATAAATGTCATTCTGAGACAGGTCCTTGCTGGAGCCTCTTCCACAAACTTGACCAAACTAGAAACCTGGGCTAGCAGCCTGTGTCTGCCTGGCGGGTGCTGGGCACCATAGCATCAGCATAATGTGAGAGGTGGCCAAGGCCTGATTGGATCACTGGAACACCCTACTATCCCGCAGCCTTTGGAATACACCAGCGAAGCTGTGCATGAAATGTACACGGCCTTGCAGAGTCTGGCTTCAAGGTTCGACTTTGAGCCCAAATGTTGCATCTCCTCCTGCATGACATGCGCTGGTGCAGGTACTTCATTACCAACACGGCCAGTTACAAGAATCTTTTGCAATAAGGCACTTGTTCCTGTGTATGCGCAATTCTGAAACTTGTGACCCCCCTCCCAATCTCGGGTGATGTGATTTCCAGTTTTTGTTTCTGTGTATTGTGATACGCTTCTTCCCCCAGCCTCACAGAGCTGCCGCATTTGCTGTTTACCTCACGGAAGTAACGCTTGACATATTTATAGAGGTCGCGGACTGCAGCTGATTCGTTGAACTCGTTTTCATGTTTCTGAAAATAAACACAGACACAATTGTTTCTGAGGAGAACATCATAACGATTATTGAAATATCAAGCTAATGCAAAATTCTTTTACTTTTCAATTTTTTCAAGGTATCAAACCTTTTTCGAAAACTTAAAACCTTGTCTTTAACTAAAAAGGAGAAAATGCAAGATTACAAAATACAAACCAAGTTGTTTTGCACCCCACAAAATAGTACGCAAAGGAAATAACATTTCTTTTACCTTACTGTTCATTTTTAAGCTCTTTATGAATTTATAAAATTCTCCTTGTAGACGTTTGAATATATCAGTAACTATTCAGCTGCTTTAAGTTTATATGCTTTTATGATTTGTATGATTTATATGATTATTTTGCTGAGAAGCACAAATGTGTTACCTCACGCTTCCTTGTTAGCCACAATTACAGAAATCTTCTTGCTATCAACCTAGAACAGAGTAGCTGTTTGGATCATAAACTCTGAGGAGTTTAATTTATAAAAATGTAGGTACCTTGGTGCTTGTTGTATTTGTAAAGGTAGTGAAAAACGAAAAACAATGAATTTTTGCAAGTGTAAGACCTTCGTAAAGCAATAGTCTTCGGGTCACGTAACTTGTATGTTTCTCCAGGTACATGCCGTAATAATAGTTTGGAGTGTATTTGCTGAAAACGGGATATCTCATGCAAAATTGTATTTGTATAATTTACATAAATGTTGCAACTTGCTAGTTCTCTGATCGTTCAAAATCGGTGACTTTATTTTCCAATGAGTACCATTTACCCAATTGGTTAATTTCGGCGCGTATTACCTGCACAACACTAAACACATTAAATGTATCTTTCATTTGGCTGTGTGCATTGCCCTATCCTTTCTTTTATACAAACTCGAAATTAAAAAAATGAAAGCAGCACAGTTCAACAGTAAAATATTAATATATATTGCGAGTGGTTATATTTTCTAAAAATGTATGTGTTTCCATTCAACAACGGGGGCAAGGGGGCAAGGGGGGGTCCTCCTGCCCCCGTGCTGCGCATGCCAGTAGTCCAGACCATGAATTTCACTAACCGGGGGGGATTGAACCTGATTCATTTGTGTTTCGGTCCAGCTGTGGACTGTAATCCACCACCTGGTTACCACTGATATAGACTAAAGGTTCCCTGGAACCCAGTACTGGCTAAGTGGTTATGGAAGAAGGAAGATTCATCAAAGGGACTTTGAAGATTACAGTATGTCCTCCTGCATGGCAACCTGAGAATGGACATGTGGCCAAGAGGACTGTCGTAGCTGTGCAGTCATGATATGTTAGAATGATGTACACGGCCTACTTTTATCTTGAGACGGTATAACTAACCACAGCAAACACTTCTGAATTTCTTATTTGCATCTATGAAATATTCTTTGATATGTGGATTTTTCTGTAGTTCATGCTGTTGGGTTTGGTTTCTATGTTGTGTCTAGATCTAAACCCACACATGATAGCGCGCAACAAATGGCAGAAGTTATCTATGTTCTGTGCCGTGATGCCCTTGGGGTTGAGGTCTGTGTGCACCTTACTTGGCGTAAGCCGTACCTTTGCGGTCTCATTCAGGAATTCCCTGAATTCCTGTTCTGTAATCTGTGGCAAGTCTTTCACCAGTTTGTAGAAGGTCTTCACCTCCTGCTTGTACTGGGGGATGTCCTTCACGTAGAGGAGCTTGTTGGTGGGTGCGTACTGGGGGGGGATTAAGAGATTAGTAAATGGATCCGGGTTGTTGCTGATTAGCTTAAGAACACATTGATCCCATAGTAGGTCTCGCCAGCAGTGAAGATACCTTTGCCGTGTGGCCCTACATTCTTTTGAGATAAGTGTGATAGTCACCTTTCCCAGCTGTTGGTCAAGCAAGGAGAAGGAATCCATAAAGGTCTGAGCGATTACGGAGAGGCAGCCGTCGAGCAGCGGCGTCTTGTCAATGTCAAACACGAACTGGGGGTTTTTAAGAATGTTCACCCAGAAGCGCAGGGGCAGGCTGGGATTGCAGAAGGTACAACAACAGACACACACTGAGAAGATCAGGTCCATCACTGAATCTCTTCCTCCATTCAGATGTGTGTAAACATGCATAGGTCCTTCATGGGCTTTATTTGCGGAAGTTGCATTCAAATTGAGGAATATTGGTACCTGTTGGTCTTCCAGATGTGTGGCACGTCCGGGTCTGTGATTTTTTTTCTTTCCACTTCAGAGTCCAGAAAGTCGAAGAAGAATTTTATGGCTGGTGAAACCTTGTTGTTCGCCGTCCCCCATATGGTTCTAAAAAGGTTTTCAACAAACGAGTGCACTGCAACCTGCAGGGGAAGCAGGTTGGATGGTAGTCATGGTCACGGAACAATGCCCTCCTACCCCCTAGTAAGCTACTATGTATATTTGTCTACAAAGAAGAACTGCGACCATCTACTGGATAAGTAGTTTTGAAGACATAACCATGAAAAAAATTGAGACCACAGCACAATTTATTGTTTCACTCATTTCTCAATTTATGGGTGTTGTCTGTGAATATATATATTTTTGCAAAATGCATTCTGGTTCTTCTCGGTTTCTCATTAGTGAAGGGCTTCTTCCTTGCTTTATGGGACTTCAGTCCTGCTTCTAGGAGCCTGATACGAACTGTCCTAGTAGTGCACTTCACACCTGCGCTTAATGTTTCCCATTCCTTTTGAAGGTCATTTGATGTCATCCCACGATTCGTGAAAAACTGTCGGATAAGTTAACAGTCATCTCTGGCATTAGTGTTGCTTCTGCCCTCTACCTGACTGGTTTCTGGTCATTCCCAGTGTCTCCTGCTTCACCTTATTCTTGTGTACTGCTGTCTTAGACATTTTGAACCTGGAAGCATCCTACTGCTCAGTGTAGCCTTCTGCCAGCAGAACCAGGATTAAACCAGGATTTAAGAATGCAGATTTGTTTAAAAACATAAAGTGGTATCTTGAGGTATATATGACCTTTTTTTGTTGGTTTTTTAAAAACATACCTTTGTGGAAAGCAGTTTTGTTAAGTTGATTTCTTTGAGCTTGAGTTTCTTCCTTTCTGGGTTTTTCCTTTGGCTTGTGTCAATGTCGGGGTCGATCTGCAAGACAGTGTGTTATCAAACAAGTGAGGTAGCTCATAAAATAATTGGTTAAATGAGTGGTTTGTGAAGTGGAACTTACCAAATGGCAGTACTTTGTTGTGAAGTTCTGATCGTCTATAAGTGCACACATGAGAGAGAGGCAGTCATGTCTAATTTCAAATGCAAGACCAAGGATGCATTTGCGAGGGTCTTCATTAACACCATCTCTCTCTGTTGAGGCTAACTTTGGGATTTATGTTTATTGCTATGTTCAATACATTTTATGTTGGGTCATTCTCTATTGCTTCTCTATTGTATCTGCAGAGCCCTTTCGGGTTGCAAAGTTAAGCAACCAGAATATTGAGGCACAATGCTGGATATGGTGCTTACCCTTCACACTGGCTTGTGCGGTGAGAGGGGCCCGGTTCTTCACAGTTGTGACCTTAATCAAAGCACCATCAGGAACCTATGAAGAAGCAAAATGAAATTTGCCACAATTTGTGCCATATCTTTCACCTGTTAAATGAACGCTGTGCATTGCAAATTCTATGGGTTCTTGTGTACGAGGAAGGAAAAATTGTATCAATGCACATTGACAAATATACAAATATATGACTTGCTATTTAAACCTCGTCTTGGTGCTCTGCCTATCAATGTACCACTGAAATCCCAAATCAACACAAGATTGGCTGAGCCCCTCATTAATATTTTAACCTTTGGTTAGCCCTAAATAATTCTGAGTGGAAACGAACTAGGTCAAAATTTGATGGAGGAACTGAAAATGTAAACTAAGTGCTAACTGCCATTATGTGACGCAATCTCATGGTCACCTTGTAATGCTTCAGCGTGTTGAGCAATGTCATCTCACCCACGACCTTCGACGCGCTGTCCACTTCCAGGAGCAAGACGGTGGAACCATCTTTCTCGTAATCTAAAATCAGACCGCAAACTCTTCATGTAGACAGGACTACACTGAGATTATCGAGGAGGGAAGACGCAGCAGCGTTCATACTCACAAATGTCAATCTCTACCAGCTGCTTGTAGTAAGGGAAGCCAAACTTGCTCTTGAATGCTGCAAGGATCTTCTCCTTGACCTGTTCCACAGTGTCGCAGTCCAGCGCACTCACCTCCAGACACTCAGATTCCTCTCCGGAGCCCACTGAAAATGACACCTTCAGTTTCTGTTGGGGAAATTGAAAGGTGTTTTAAAGTCAACTGGTTTTGTAGACAAAAATATTATGTTAACGCCAATCTTAGTAACTCGCTTGTGTTAAATGGTTTGTGGTTGCTATGCATACAAATATGCGAATGAGGGACAAAGTTGTTTGAAGTTAGCAATGCTCAGCTTTGTTTTCAACACAATATCAAAGATTACAAAGTAATCTAATCTACCGTAACGCCAATGTTAAAGATAACCTTTGCTTTAGCTCTAACTATAATATTAACTCTAATAATAACCCTAACTTACATTCTAATAGCAACCTTAACCTTAGGTCTAACCCTTAAGGCAACCATAACCCAATCTCAAACCCTAATGACACCCTAAACTTTCATTTCATTCAATTTCAAACACTTTATTTGTCCCCGAGGGGCAATTAAAGGGCACATAGAGCAGTGTTGAGATCAACCTGACTATACATACTTAACACTAACGCTAACCCTAATACCTGCTTACCAAGGTTTGGAAGTCCTCGGACAGCCAGAGCAACCAGTCTTCATTGAGTGTGTACAAAGCCTTCCCTGTCACGCAGTCCACCGGACCTTTCAAGGTTTTCTCAACCAGTGCTGACACCAACAAATACAGAGGTTGCCCCACAGACTCCTGAAAAAGCAGACACACATAGATCCAATTAATATGGCTTAATTTAAATCGATAGTAAAATTATTTCAATTGGCCATTGACATATTGACATTAACATTTTGGACATGAATCATACAGCCCATTTAATTCATATGCCACCTAAACTTCAGTGTTTCATGTCCACTACAGGGTGTAAACAAAATATATTATTCAATTGTCCATGCAAAAACCAGAACCGGTCACAGAGAGAACTGACG